TATATATATATATATATATATATATATATATATATATATTAAATAAAATTTATGTAAAATTATAGTCATAAAATTTTCAAGTATAAAACGAAGAAAGATCAAGTAGCAAAAAAACAACATTTTTGCATTCATATATAACAATTATTATCTGTCATCTGTCACTAATAGATTTTACTGATTTATTTCATTACTAAAAGCGCGAATGTAATTTTAGCCGAAGTTGATTGAGCAAACATCTCGTTCCAATGAGAAGAAAGTTTTAGTCACATCTTTTCGAACACTACATTGTATTACATAATACAGAAATTGAAATTGTGCTGAAATTTTGAAAGCTATCGGATTTTCAAGGATTTTAATTCATAAACATTTTATAATTTACACTAAATTTTCTAATTTTACACAAGATATGTATATTAAGTTCCTCGAATATATTCTGTTATGAAAAATCCTTTGATTTTGCTGATAAATTTGCATTAATTTCAAAAAGCAAGAATATGGTATTAGTTTTATCGTAATGCATAATTAAAATAATCTAGTGTCCAATTATTTTCCAAGGGTTCGATGATTCTTAATATTTCTTCGCAGAAAAAAATCAGAAATCAAACAAGATGTAAATGCGCAATTGAGAATAATTGCAAAGGAATGCGAATGAAAATGTTCGTGAATGTAAATACAATTAAAACAAAATTCCTCGCGTTACACACATATTTCTGTAAATTACTAATAATATCATATCGTCTTTATTTTCTAAAATAACTCATAAAATTATATGTATATATATAAAATTTTAAATTATTTATTAGTTATTTTAATATATAATTTAATTTTTCTATAGCTATAATTTCTATAATTTAATAACTTGCAAAAATGTGCGTGTTAAAGAAATATATATTACATAATGTAAGGTTACAATGTCTATGAAACTTGCAATATGTAGTTATTTTAATATATAATTTAATTTTTCTATAATTTAATTAGCTATAATTTAATAACTTGCAAAAATGTGCGTGTTAAAGAAATATATATTACATAATGTAAGGTTACAATGTCTATGAAACAATCTGTAATTGCAATATGTAATTAAGCACAATGGTGCAAATAATCCAAAAGAAGACAAAGATGACTTTTCTCATGATATGTTTCTTATTATTTGATCTCGAGGACACAGAGCTGACTTTCTTTCTTAAATGGCGCGAAACGTGTCGCCTACATAATGACTTCTCGATTACATCAATTTACATAACAATAACGAGACACCCGGTTCTCGACGTGTCGTATTTAGCAATTAATAAATTATATAGTTTGATAACTTTGTAGCCTACAAGAACACTATTTTCAAAAATTATTGACTAATATGATTATCATATTCGCGTGCAGTATTTCTCTGTTATTTATATATTATATTAGATTATAAGATTAATTTAGATATATAATTTTTATAAATATTAAATAAATATATTATAAAACTGTACACATATACAGAGAATATTATACAAAATATTAATTTTTTTCTTTTATTGTTAGACAGGAATCATATTTTTAATAATTTCTTATCTTTGCTTTTGCATTCTGCTCCGCTTAAACAGTTATTAAATAAAATTAATAAATTGTTAATAAATTTTAATAATTAATTTTAAATAATTAGTAAAAAAACCGCGTATGGAAGAGAGAATGCAAAAGCAAAGTAGGAATTTCGACAAAGGTTTAACTTGGGCCTTATCGATGCGAAGAAAGCGGCGCTTGTATAATACAGATCGTGTGCACTCGATGCAGAATGCCTGCACACGTACATGTACATCGAGGTGACGTGAAGAACGTGCGTAATAACCGGTGCGAAACGCACGAAACGTGGAATTTTCGGCGATTTCGCTGGGGCCGGCCAATTGGGCCTGGCGATTATGCAATCGTTATGAGCGAATACTCATTTCGCGCTCGTAACAAATGATAGGACGACAAACAGTTTCCGGTGTGGAAATCGAATACGGTTGCCAATTTATGCAATTTACGAACACCCGCATTTCTCTCCCACCCGGAAATTACTGGTTGAAGGTATTAACTGAACCAGTGATCAGACTCATTTTTCGATAATGTCACCTTCCAACTCTCTTAGTTTCTAAGATAAATTTTTTAAATTCTAAAATTTATCTAATTTCCAATTCTAATTTATTTAATCTTTTTTAATAATATTTTTTAATTTTTTAATTTCTTTAATATATGTACATATGTATATGTAAAATTTGATTTTTACTTCTTAGGGAAATACGCTTTATACATACATATATATTCCCTTACTCACCTAAAAAAAATAAAAATAAAATAAAATAAATAAAGAACGTACACAATTATTAATTTAATTAAAATATATTAGCATTGTATAACTAGCATTGCAACAATAGAAATCGAATTAATAAAATACCCTAATTCATTGACAGGTATCTTCGCGTCTTCCATAATATCTTTTCGGCAAATAATACTGCAAAATTTATGATGAACGAAGCGGTTAGCGGCGGAGCATAAATCTTCGCAAGAAAGTGCCGGCCACGAAATTTATACCAAGCATCTCGATCATTCTTTCTCTCGATGGGCGAGAACCACTTATTTCATCTATGCAAAAAACAAACCGTTGGCGCCGGCCTCGATAAATGTCACATGCAAATTTGGATCATCCATAGCATCGTCAACATCATTCGAGAATTACCAGACGGCCTCTTTTTCGTCGCGACGGCAAAAATCCGGGTTCAGAACACCTTATTATCTATCTTTAATTCAAACGTTTTTACTTTTTCGTAATGATTCAACGTAAAATCTTTCCCGACATTTTAATAATTGCCTAACATCTTGAAAAAGTAACAAATTAAATTTAAGTATATAGACAAGATATTATATTTTTAATATATATTATTATATTTTGTTATTTTTTATATATTTAACGTAATAATTCTTTCAATATATCTCTTCCGTTTAATTATTTTATTATTTTTTTTATATATATTGTTAATATCTTAATAATTTAATTAAAAAGAAGTTGATTCTAAATAGCGTTTCTAGAAAAAGAAATTGTTCTCTTGAAATTAATATTCGGCCAAATTCGAAGTGACTGTAAATAAAATATAATAACAAGACAATTTAAATTATATTCAATATATCTCCCAAAAGAAAGACGCTTTTAAAATTAAACTTGACGGTTTTAGAGAACACTTTATATAAAATATAACGATAAGAAGACATAAAATTATATATACTCATCAATCTTAATTCGCGAGCTATGTAATTTATGAGTTTGTTTGCGAGAGCGCACTAATCACCTGCATTTTAGTAGTAAGCCGCAATATATTAATTAAATCTATCTTAAATAAGTCTAGACTGCTGTAAACGCCTTCCGATCGATTATTGATGTTCGCCTATCGATGGAAAGACCACGAATTTATATTCAAAAGTTCGCATTACGCGACGAAAATTATGGAAGAATGTCGATTAGTTACATTCCCTGATTGATATGTCATCGATTAAATATACTGACTTGTAAAAATCTTGTTATATATATAATAAGCATAAGATTAATATATAATCTATTTAGTTAATTGACAATAAAATTCAATTTTTTGCACAGTAAAGATATTTTGTAAAAAAAAAAGAATTTTTGTTACCATTTGCCTTGGAAAACTTTTTAATAATATAGTTTTTTTATATATTATATAGAATTATACAAATTTTTCGCTTTTCTTATGCCTTTATCTATAGAATTTTCGAACAATTCATACAGAATCATGTTTTATTTGGCGAATATTTAATATGGAATATATTTAATATTTAATAAAATTAAAAGTAGTTTGCCTTCGAGAACCAAAACTCAACATCTACCCACACGTAAGATTAATCACGAAATAAAAAGATTATTTCATTACTTATACTTTAAATTCGTTGTGATGTAGTTTATCGAAAATCTCTAGATTATTTCAACTCGTCGCTCCCACGACAAATGTACATGAATAAATAATCTGCATAAATATCTACCCACGTTATTATTAGCCGAAAAGAATCCTTCTTATGAATTTTTCTTTCTTTGTCAAACCAATAAATTATCTTTTTCAAATCAATAAAAAATCCTAGCTAATTAGTATAAATGTATACGGTGAGAACGAGATTATGAGCAATGCAACGTATAATGTTTTTATTTTGGCTTCATCTTATTGGTCCCACGATCGTTAAAAAGTTTAAATACATTTTAAACCTGTGTGACCTTGCATGCCGTGATTTTGACGTCATCCGGGAATTCACGAATTAGTTTATTGTGACAGTTTGATCCCTATCGATATTTCTGTTTTTCGATATACATAAGGTAAGATAATAAGTGTTCTAATGCCGTAATAATTTTAAACAGCAAGTAGTAGCTGCTAGTAATTTGTTCGTCTATGAAAGCGTCCAGAAATATGTACTAACGATGCCTTGTCACATTCTCCGTGTATTTTCTGGAACTGGCCAGACAGGTGGGACCAATTAATGAGCGGAGAAAATGCGCAAAGCTGGCCAAAAGTCGAACCACTTTCAGTAATAGCATGTTTTAACTTGGAAAGAGGAATATTGGCCTGTCTCCCATAAGATTCATAAGTTTCATAAGAATATTTCAAAAAGATACAAAAGAAAGGAAATAGGCGGTGAAGGTCGTCCAATTTTACGACAAGAAATAAAATCACGATTTACAAAATAGATGTAGAATAAATTTTAGAATTTTTTGCCGCGAATACAAAAATTATTTCACGGCCGCGCATTTTATATGATTTCGAGAGATTCATATAAATACTTGAAAATTAAACAATAAAATATTTTATATTAGGAATTTTTTTTTAATAGAGAGAGAGTTGTCACTTTCGACCAAAATTATAAAAAGTATTTTTATTAATCATAAAAAATGGTCGATTGACTTTTATTTATATTATCTTTTGTATATTTTTTCTGTGTATTTTAAATTTTATACTTTTTATAATTTTTTATATAGATTCTATATTTTCCATATAATATATTTATATTATTCCACATACCATCTTACAAAAGAGAAATTTGTATATATTTTTATATATTTTTATAATTTTACACATATTATGATCTTATGTAATCTTATCTATTATATTTCTATTTTAAATAATTTCTCTTTATATATTTATTTATCAAGTACAAAAGAAAATCGTGGAATCAATTTTTCTCGACCTTTTTATTCAAGTTATATTTCTTCAAAATTTATGGAATCTGATCAAACGTCTGTCGTCTTTTTTCGCGGACTTCGAAAAGAAAATGAGACACGATCTCGTTACGTGGTAATAAACGACGCAATGATTTATGAGTGCGAGGAATCCAGGCGTAATATTGCGTGATGCGTGCAATATTGTTATATCATTTTTGCCAAGTAATTAAGTAATAAGTATTAAGAATCTCTTAAAAGATTCACATAATCTTTTGTGTCTTTTATTTTTAATACATGCATTGATAATTAAACATTGATAGTTTCCAAACAAATAATTTTTATATATATCTTATTTTTGTGTATATATTTATAAATAAAATTTATTCTTAAATTACTAAGAGTGCTAGTAAGAAAAACAAATTTTAATCAAATTTTATTTTATTAACAATAAAATAATGAAATTTATAAATCGTAAAAGTTATAGAAATTATTAGAGCAAAAAAATACTTAAATATTTTAATGCAAAACAAATAAAGAAGATATTTAAAAATTTTTTTAAATATTATAATACTATCATATACTTGTGTATACTTTTTAAAACTTTTTTATATACAAAAAAACGATTTAATTTACACGACTTACAACATGATTTCACTTGCGAGCTTTATTGCCAATGAATGGTCAAACGAGCTAAACTCATTATTTATTTCATATTCGCAGATTTTCAATTATAAGGTCGGGTAAACACGGAATTGCACAATCTCAGATAATTGAGAGACTCGATGTATGCGATCGCAATCGTGAAACAAAGATCCACAAAGATTGAATCGGCATTTGGCTTCATGCTGCGTTGTATAAAAGCTATTTTACGCCTTTCACATTCGCAACAAAAATAATATACTTAAAAAGAATTTAATTTTATATTTATTGAAAGTTTATATAAAATGTGAGTTTTTATTAATTTGAAAACTATGTACATATAAAATATTATATTTATATATATATTTATATTTATATTTACTGTATATATAAAATATAATAACAAACAATTGTATATAAATTTGTTAATTAATGATAAAGATTTTCCTATGATCCATGACTATAATTGCGATTTGATGCATAAAATTAAAAAAGACTTCTTTATCAACATAAAAAAAAGAGAAAGAGGGAGAGAAATATGAATCTACAATGAATTTATCAATCTATAATATTTTGTAACTTTAATACATAAAATTGCAAAGAAAATATAGTATATTCTATATTCCACAGAGCCTCGGACTTTCATATGAAAAATTTCACGTAGACCGTGTAAAGAGACTTGACGAATTTCGACGCGTGCGAGGTGGTGCATTTGCGTAAGACTTGCTTGCGAGAGGCGAGAAGAGTCGCGCGGGCGCGAGTTTTTCGGCGATCCCCTACTCGTGGGGCCCGGTTTCGGTTTCTTTTCACCTAACCGTGTTTCGGCAGCAGGCCCGGTTGCCCACCACCTCGCTCTCTTCTTGCCGTCTCTCCTTGAGGGTTCATCGTATAAAAGCACGGAAATCTTCATCGTAGTCATCAGTCGTAAACACGACGAACTGCGTCCGAAACTCGTGCAGCATCATGAACTCCAAGGTATAATCGGAAACGAGAGTTCTTTTGCAAAAATCGCTTTCACGGAGAATATCATTCGAGAATCTAAAGATAGATTTAGAATATTTTAAACGGAATAAAAACAAAATTGACAGTGCGCGAGGGTGAAACGTGTGTTCGAAAAAAAAAAAGATTGATACGTCGCGACAAGTAGATATTTTTGCGTATAAAATTTAAGAAACTTTAATATTAAACATAAATTTAATTAATTAATAGTAATAAAAAGTATTTATAATAAATATTTTTTAATATTTTAGTTTGTTTAATTAATTTATATATTTTTTTTTCTTTACTTATAATATATATTTTTAAGCAATATTGAAAAGTTTGTTTGCTTCCTTTTTAGTAGATTACATACAAAAATAATGAAATTAGTTAAAAGTTTGATAATCTTTTATTTTTATTATTTTAATCGAATTATTGTAAACAAACTATAATATATATATTATCATACATTTTTTCGTAAAATTAAATTATAAAGAGAAGAATATATTGGCATATAATTATGCCAATATATGACTAATAATATAAAATAATATCTTCAGAGACTAAGAAGCGCTTAATATTCTGACTTTTACAGTTAGTGGTCCTCTTCGCCCTGGTGGCGCTCGCCTTCGCCGAAGAAACGAAGAAAGCAGAAAACACGAAGAAGGATAAGCGGGGCCTGTACGGAGCCCTAGGCTACGGTTACGGTCTTGATGGATACAGCTACGGTGGGCTCAACTCGTACTCGTCACTTCCGTTCGGCTTGAGCCCCAGCATCTCGTCCACCATCCTGACAAAGGAGGTCGCCGTACCTGTGCCCCAACCGGTCGCCGTGCCCGTCGAGAAGCACGTCCCAGTCCCTGTTAAGGTACCGATTCTCGTTAGAGTATTTGCGTTGTTAGATTACACGTGTAAAACGTGTGAAAACTCGTCAGCGACATGCACTTGAGACGGCTTCACTTCTTGTTTTGAAAAAAAAGTAACATTTCTAAGAGTTGATTTATTGGAAAGCGTTAGAAGAAAGCGAAGCAATTAACAAATAACTCGTTGGGGAACTATACTTTTGTTATATCCACATCAATTTTTCAATAAAAAAGTCGGTAATTAGAGAGACAATTATGTACCCTCGAATTAAATAATGGTTTTCTCGGAATTAAAAATGGATAAATTCAATCTTTTAAATTTTATACTATACAAATACGTTGTTTTTAATTCATTATTGGTCTATTTTCTTTAATATTGTTGCATCAAAAAACGCATGTTGTATAATTTTATCAAGTACTACAAGTTTTATGAATTTTTATCACAAGAACTATCTTTGGAGAAATTTCTTCTTAATAAAAGTGCATACGGTTAGTTTCTAAAGTGACACATGGGATCTGCATAAACTCTGTAGTAATTTAGAAAGACTTTCGAAACATATGTATGTCTATGACAGCTAAACAAAGTTAGCAGTCGCATAAAGAGAAATATTTTATAACAAGTAGAGCGTGATCAACGGAGTGAGGTCTTCGTTGTGCATGCGTGGGACGATGTCTCGTATTATTATCTAATAGTAATAGTCGTCTTGATCCAGATATCACCTACGATATCTCCAAACAAAGTTGAATCTATAACTGCATTTAATGAAAAATTCATAATTCATAAATAATTTATTTTTCCTATCTAATAAAACGAGAATGAATAAGTAACAAGAAACACTGCTTTTAAATCGCTAATCGCATTAAATTGAGAGAAATTTATTTCTAACATCTATTTAATAAACTAAATAATATCTTATTTCCTTATTTATTTTATTTAACATCAGAATTTTTCTGATGATCAATAATGAAAAATACCTAATCGTTGTCTCTCTGTATCTAGGTGCCCTACGCAGTACCCGTCGACCGACCGTACCCCGTCCATGTGCCCAAGCCATACCCAGTCGAGGTCACCAAGCACGTCCCCGTCCCGGTAGATCGCCCCGTGCCCGTTCCCTACAGCGTTCCCGTGAAAGTTCCGTTCCCCGCTCCGTACGCCGTCAAGGTGCCGCAACCTTACGCCGTTCCCGTCGTCAAACACGTACCTGTCCCGGTCGCTACGCAGCCGCTTGTCTACACGAAACTGAACACTGGTCTGGGATACTACGGCGGTTATGCTTCCTCCTGGTAAAACTTCGTCCACGTCGTTTAAACGCCCAAAAAGTCACGGATTCTTCAGTAAAGTTGTGAAGTTCAATAACGTTTTCCTCGATGGAAAAATACCTTCAAAGAAAGAGAGATAACATATATTAATGTACGTTAATACATATCTTTCTTCGTCGAGAAAAACGATACGACATAGTGCAGCTGAAAAGTGAATACATACCTCTCATTTCGAAAATTAACGGATTATTTCGCGGGATTCTTTTGGGCATTTTTTGTGATAGGCAAAGAGAAGAGCGAGTGTGTTACAAAGAGAAAGAGAGAGAAGAGC